GTTTTTTTTTTGTTTTTTTTTTTTTGGGGGGGGGCTCTGAACTCAGGCCATTAGACACGTGTGGTCATTGAGCCATCTATTTCATCCAGGACTTTTCTTTTCCAATGAGCAAAATATCTTTATGATCTATAACTCAAGACTTGACTGAAAAAAATCACCAAATCACTATGTAAGATGGAAACCAAAAGCAATTCAGACCTGTAGTTATTTCTTGGAGGAATATGTGGGCCGTCTAAAACCACTATCATAAAATTCCTATTTCATATGAACCAGTTCAGAAAATATTTACAATGTCAACTGAAAACATGAGTAGACCACACTCTCCTAATCTGAGATGGAGAAAGATATGAAGTAACTAGGACCAGTGAGATGGCTAGGTAGGTGAAGGTTGAATAAGTCTAATGACCCATGTTGGATCCCTAGACCCCATAGAGGAAGGAAAGAATTGGCTCCTAGAAGTCCTCCTCTGACCTCCACAAGCATACCTAGTACGATAAATTCTTTATTTTTAGTATTTTGAAGTTTCTCTGTGTAGTTTTGGAACCTGTCTTGGAACTAGCTCTTGTAGACCAGGCCTGTTTCGAACTCAGAAAGATCCTCCTGCCTCTGCCTCCTGAGTGCTAGGGTTAAAGGTGTGTGCCACTACCACTGGGCTGATAAATTCTTTTTTAAAGTCATAAACAACTTAAAATTGTACTAAGGAATGCTACGATCTGCCAATGCTTCCATTTAGCTTCTAGATCACAAAGTGAAGTTCACAGCAAATTAGCTCTAAGGAAGGTCACAAATCATATAAGGATGTGAAAGCCTTCTCTTCAAAAGATCAAAAACTCAAAATAGGTTAATTTTAAATTTGACACACACAAAACCAAAAGAAAACATCTTCTTGGAACTATAAGAGTTCTTTTTTGTTTGTTTGTTTTTTCGAGACAGGGTTTCTCTGTGTAGCTTTGGAGCCTATCCTGGCACTCGCTCTGGAGACCAGGCTGACATCGAACTCACAGAGACCCGCCTGCCTCTGCCTCCCGAGTGCTGGGATTAAAGGCGTGCGCCACCAATGCCCGGCTTGTAAGAGTTCTTAAAAAGCACCACATTCAGGAAGAGCAAGAGGACCACAGAGAACAGACACTCACCCAGCTTGTTGAATCCTGCAGCGTTGTAATACCACTTTCGAAAGCCATCCAGCCACTTGCCTGACGCTGCAACTGTAAGTACCACACTGTTAACGGCTACACGTACAGACAATGCAACAACAGCCAAACAACTATTATCTTCCGATAAACCTAAGGGTGAATATCCCGTGGTATGCAGTGTAGATCATTTCACTATGACATCACGAGAGAAGAGTGTGAGCTCAAAACTAAAGATGCCTACTATCCACAGGTATACTTCCTGCCAGTTTGGGTTCTCCAAGCCCAACACCCTGTGCCCGGCCATCACCTGCTATTATCAGAACTGAAAGGACAAGGGACAGGAAAGAGACCTGGAGCATTTCTATCATATGTAGTGGCAGAATTCTCACAGGGGGTGAAGCTATGAGAGTTCAGGTTAAGTGACAGGCTTCTCCGAGTCTCCAAAATTTTTAGTCTACATAATCTCATTGAACATCTTTAAAATATAATTTCTAGAAACTATATATAACACCAGTTAACCATTTAAATATCAATAGATTAGTAAAAAAAAAAAGCCCATTTTTCTTCTTCTAAAGAGCTCATTGGACACGGATAAGGAGAAATACTCCATGTTCAAATTTATTGTGACATGCATTGTGGATGCCAGACCTTATATAAACAAAGAAAAACTAAATTAAGGACTGGAAATGTAGTTCAACCTAGCATACAAAATACCCCATGCAAAAACAAAACACACAAAGCAACTCATAACTCTTTGGGAAACAAGGCCGAGCCTAATGAGCAAGTCACCTTAAAGATGTCCAGGAAGCGGGGGGGGGGTGGGGTGTCTGATGTTGAAAATACAGATATGATAAAGGAAAGAGGGTAGAACAAGCCTCACCTTTCTTTTTAAAATGTGAGGGGTGGGAGGGGAACAAGCGTGGGGCCAGAGGACAACATTAGGTCCCAGTCATCTGTTTTCATTTTTGAGATGTCATCTTTCACTGGTTTGGAAGTTGCCAAGTCCACCAGCCTACCTGAGCCTCAGAGGTCCACCTGCCTCCACCTGTCCAGTAAGATTAAAAGCATGGGCTAGGACTACTAAGGCAGGTCTCACTATGCAAGTGGCTGGCCTGGAACTCAGGCTTTATTAAAAAAAACAACAAACCAAATGGGTTCTGGAAAATGAATTCAGGCACTTGATGCACGGCAAGGCAAGCGCTTTCATCAACTGAGCTCTCTTCTCCTGCCCCTGACTTCCTACTCCTTAGATTACTACATGGCTTCCTCCAACCTCAGAAATTAAAACAGTTAAGGGCTAATCACTCAGTTGGTACAGTGCCAAGGCATACAAAGCCCCGAGTCCCATCTCCAGCACCACATAAAATGGGTGTGGTGGTGCATTCCAATTCCAGCATTGTTTTAGGGAAACAAAAGGATCAGAAGTTCAAGGTCATCCTTCAGTACACCGTGAATTCAAAGCTGGCTTGGTCTACATGACACCCTGACTCAAAAAAAAAAAAAAAAAAAAGAAACATAAAACTTAGAGAGTAAAAAAAGATCTAAAAACAAATGCACAGGAGCCAAACTGTAAACACAGCAGTGGTTATGATACCGATTAATATTCGTTTAACACATTTAATGTGCAAGGCTCACCCTGTCCACATTAGCTAGGTTAAAGCCTGCTTCAAAACAAAACTAAAAACACAAAAAGCAGGGTCATGGAAGAGCAATGTGCAAGGCTCACCCTGTCCACATTAGCTAGGTTAAAGCCTGCTG